TTCTACCAGTTTTCTGTATACAGGACCCTTACCATCTTCGTAAAGGAAATTCATGCTGTCGTCTAAGTACAAAGTATGTTAGAGTAGAGAGTTATTAAAATTTGTATTTGAATTTTCTTCTAAAACTCACCTCCAGTTAAAATTAAAACAATTAAGTTACAGGCAACTTTAAGAATGGACCGCGTTTCTTCGTCCGTGCATTGTGGACCGTGTTTCTCTAATAGTTTCAGAAGCAATTCACACACTCCTGCCTTAGCCAATAACAGCTTCGCATTTTCTAATAGAATTATGTTATTAAGCTATTGCTCTTCGACTTAATTCAATTTTGTACTTAAATCTAATTTTGTAAATTTACTTGAGTCTAATTATACCGAAATATTTAATCGCTATAACTCCAATTAATTTAATTTGAACAATTTAAATCAATTTAATTTCAGTTATTCTCAAATGATTGGTTTACCGTCTTCTGCTTGGCCATGTAAGATGTCTAAACACATCTCAGATAGCTCAGAGGAAGTTTCACTGGCCAGAATATCAACTAAAACTCTTGTCAATCTCTCATCAAGAAATATAATATTCACATCATTCAATATACCAAGAATGAGTAAGACTTGTACCGCTGATTCATCACCATTTATTCCATCTTCTTCTAAAATACTGCAAATAATTGGTACCATATCCTCCTCTAATGCCTGGTAAAGTAAATCTTATAATAAAATTATTGTTTGCTGTTGCTTCCTGTTTTGCAATCACATTAATTGTCAATCACAATATGTGTATAAGTGTATTTTTAAAAAAATTACCTTTTTGTATAATATTTCTTGATCCACCAAGAAGTTCAATAAAACCCCAGCAGCCACATTCCTCAAAAAGCTGGCACCTTTAACATTACCTGAGGCAATTCCTTTCTTCAGCAGAGCTAAGATTACTTTCAAACCATCCTGCTCTCTTATTAAGTTTTTACCAGTCTCTGTAACACAAATTCTTATATTTTTTTTCAATATCAAACCTACACACATTTAAAACCACTCAATATACTTTTAAATATCATTTATAAATACTCCATAACAGGAGACGCGGTAGTGTCTCTGGTCATGTTCAAAAAACTACTAGTTAATTTAAAAGACTAATAATAGACACTACATGTCTCTTATCCCGAGCCACCAAAGTCCATTTTTCAGGGATTCATAAAATATAAAAAATTTTGAATCAAACGTTATATGTCCTGAAAAGCAGCATTGTCACGAATAATTTGAGCCAAACAAATTTTAAATCGGTCAAGCCGTTTTGGAGATACAAACGGTCGAAAAGTAATGATTTTAATGAAAAATTAAGAAACGTCTCCTTCTCTATATGTATGTATGTATGTATGTACGTATGTATGTATGATGTATGTATGTATGTATGTATGTATGTATGTATGTATGTATGTATGTATGTATGTATGTATGTATGTATGTATGTATGTATGTACGTATGTATGTACGTACGTATGTATGTCCATCCGAAATATGTAGCTCGTAGCAATGCAGTCTTTCAGGACATATAACATTCGATTCAAAATTTTTTTACATTTTAGTAATGTATCCCCGAAAAATGGACTTTGGTGGCTCGGGATAAGAAACATGTAGTGTCTATTATTAGTCTTTTAAACTAACTTTTAAATTAACTAATAGTTTTTTGATAAAGATATTCCTTTAAATATCAAAGCTTTGAAATATTATGAACCATCATTTAGAAACTATACATAATGTATGTAATAATAAAAATTCTGTCATGTATGCAATAAATATAACTACTACACAACCATTCTCATAGCATATGTTTCCTAAAGCTCTGGAAGTCTGCGTCAAAATGTCTATATCTTCTTCTTTTAGCAAATTAATCAAGACCCTTATCAATTCAAAATTGGTACATTTCTCTCTCCCCCGATCAGTCTTTGCTATCTCTGCGATAGCTTTTGCAGTCTTTGCTACAATTTGTTTAGATTTGTGCCCAAGTAGTGTCAGGAAGACTTCGTCAATAACTAGCTCGGTAGTCTCTGAAATCATCCTTTAGGTAATAACAATTTCGTACAATATAATACCTAGTTACAGCATTTAATATAGTTAAATTGTCCAATTATACCTCCGATTGACGTTTTGCTAACATTTACTACAGAATCTAGTATCTGAACAACATTAGGACATTCCTCTTGCGAGGCTTCGAGTCTCACGACACACTTTAAATCGTCGACGAGTTTGTCAATATTGTGTTTTACCTCTCCTGTAATGTACACCGAGAAATTTATGTATAGTCTTTTCGAAAATAGCTTGTCGAAAAAGGGCTAGTGTAAACAGTGATTTACCTTCCATTTTTATCAAGCAAGTATCCGTTGATATTCACGTCGTAGACTCCGCAGAACTCGTACCCAATTCACTCAAAAGTAACGCTTTTATGATTTTTCAACAAAATACTGAAAAAAAGATTTCGGAAATCTTTATTTTAATGTATAATCAATCGACTTCCTTTATCTTAATGTCAATGGACGAGTTCAATTTGGTTCAATATTTGGTTTCTACTGAACTCTACTTGTCTGCTCGCCAAGCAATTAAACGTGATTGGCTGGATCCACCTGGTAAGAGCCAATCATGCTCATTCGCTTGACAAGCATGTAACCGCTTTGTCGCCTTGAACTCGCCCATTGCAGCCTATTGTATTTGTAAATGTAAAGGTGCCTTTTCACGAGCTGCTGAGCTGCAACTGGCCGTTGCAGCAGCTCGTGAAAAGGCACCTTGAAGCGTAAGCTGGAAATATAATGATAAGCATAGGCAATCAGAAGAGATTTCAATCCATTAAAAAGCCATGATGGAATTAATAATAAAGGTACAATTTCATGCTGACGCTTGACGCTTATTTTTAGCGTCAAAACAGATCACGTGATACAAATTGATGAATATTAAGCATCAATTTTGATCACGTGATCTGTTTTGACGCTAAAAATAAGCGTCAAGCGTCAGCATGAAATTGTACCTTAATTCTAATTCCACCATGTATTATTATTATTATTATCATTATTAATTCTAATTCTATCATGTCAGAAAGCGTCCATTTTATCAATGCAGCATGCGCCAATGCCAATGCTTGCCGAAGTTCGAAATTGCACCGATTGCACGGGCTCGCACGGCTTATGCCTAGTTCACACTAGGCGCGATGAGCGATGCGCGACGAGCAATAACCAATAAGAACTCTGCTTTATCGTCGTGTGAGCTAAAGCAAAGCTTTTATTGGACATCGCTCATCGTTCACCGCCCATCGCATCCAGTGTGAATTAGGCATTATTGCTTTATTTGAATATAGATATTTCTTGCTAAGAAATTTGACATCAGCATGATTGCGACTACTTTATCGACTGCATGGTGTAATAAGAAAGGTGAAACAACATCATGGATGCGCAGTAGTCCATTGTCTCGACCAATAAGAATCGGGTCCAAATGTTCAAAAGCAATATGGTTGCCCCTAGAGACCCTCTAACAGAGACTGGCCATCAGGGGGCCACTTTTGATTGGTCCGCCATTTCCTAGCGATTCCCGCTCGTATTGAAATTTCAATTACTGCATTTACTTGGAATGTAAATAGTATGTAATGATAAATATTATAGAAATATTAAAACCGTGCTTTTTACATTAATATAAATAATATACGTCAAATAAAAAAAAACATGTCAAGTTTTATCGTCAGTTATATACATCTTTATCTTTAAATAACTTTGTTATAATAGCTGTTTTTTGACATTTATGATTTAATTTTTGACTTTGTTATTAAATTTTAAACATTGACTCTTATATTGTCTTCGTTCTTTTTGTTTATACGTTAAATAATTTCTATATTTAATATTCTCTCTTTCTTAATTCTATTAAATCTTTTTCAAATAAAATTAAAGTAAGGTTAGGAAATCAGTGACAAAAGTACAAACACTTAACATTTGTAAAATTTATTTAAAAAAGGTGTGTACTGCCAATGATTTACTGTCATATCTTCTATTAATATTAGTATTTTTCTTACTTAATGTTCTTAATTTGAATACGACAAACTTTCTAATAATTTTAGGAAACAATTGATAATTTAAAACATGTTTAGCCGTAACCTGACTAAAGACAGATATTAAATAATTTTTCCAGAATTGTGCAGTGCAACCACTCATTTTTATTGTTATTATTTTGTACTGAGCAAAAACCACGAACATAACCTTGAATCAACTCAAATCAACTTGAATAAACGATCACATACGAACGCACATATTCGTGTGAGTGAAAGAGTGAAATGGCCTATATTTCTCTCTCACTTGTATTTCTCTCTCACTCGCTAGGAAATGCCGGACTCGCCTGATGGCCAGTCTCTGTTAGAGGGTCTCTAGTTGCCCCTTGTTTGATTTGAAGTTTGAATTAGCTGTAAAGTATAAACCGTAATAAATCATAATATAATATTGTAAAATTAAAGAAAAAATTAAGTCTCGATAATATAATATTGGAAAATTCATTATGCCAGCGGTTATATTATTATCAATTGTATTAGCCACATGCAAAAAAAGTGCATGCAAAAAAAATGTAAAATTATTTCGATTTCCAAAAGACGAAATTGTCCGTCAACAATGGATTAAAGCGTGTGGAAGAAATAATAAAAATATAAATGGAAAAAAAAGATGGTACTGTGAAAATCTTCATGTACTATATAATTGAAGATATTCCGCAAAAAAAGGCGTCTGCCTCTTAGTCTCTATTATCCGCACATAGACAATAGGTATATCTTGTAAACAAATTTTAACTACAATGGTTATGCGATAATTTTTATTCAAATGCTACAATTATTCTAATTGTTTGTTAGTTGTTTGTTTGTTTTTGTATAGTTTGTATTACTTTGTGTTCAAATTGCGCGGGGTGTATATGGACCTAAATTTCATTGGCTCCGCTCATCGTGCCGCCATTACTATGCGCAATGTTTCACCATGATCGACTGTAAGTAATTACGGACAACATATATGGATGTAGAAATCTTTTTGATATTTGCTACCGAATGAATACGCGATCGAGATGAACTTTAAAAATGACAGATATAAACGACTGATTCTCTCTGTAACGTGATGGCGGAATCAAATGACACTGTAGAAACGTCCGTAACAAAGTCTGCGAAACTGAAGGAGAAAGTTTATGGTATATTTTATTTAAGAAAGGAATATTTGCTTGCGTATAAGTTGCTCGCTACAAACTAACCTCACTTTTGCGAGTGCGATAATGTTCTAGTTCTTATCATTTGTAACCCGATAATAAAAGAAAATTGCAATAGTTTTTACTGCTTGATTTTTTACTATTTGCTATCAATGTATAAAATGTTACAGCATTTTTAAATTGTTCATTGGAATTGATTTAGCCTTAACTTTGTTCTTCTGAATTGCATTAATTTTTGCACTACATACATTTGATTTAAGCAGAAAATGTTAAGAAATCAGTTCAAAAAGTCATTACAAAATATTTTAATTGTAAATAATGTTTCTTTCACGATTGTGCAAAATTGATATTTTAATCTTTTTATTTGATTATTATCTGTAGTTCTAGTGCTGCTTATCACTGCATTCAATGATAATTTTATTTTCATTTAATTGATAATCAATTTTTTTTCAAAAAAATTTTTTGTTGATATTTATGCCATTCAATCTTGTTTCAATAAATATATCTTACTGCTATTTTTGTAGCTACAGTATTTTTAAGCACTGTTGCTAGTATTTCTGCCCTCGCTGGATTTGCCAGAGCAGTGGCAATAACCAGGAAGCAAGATCCAAAACATTTTGGAGATGGAATTTCTGGTATGAAAGGGATTCCCGAAACTGGAGCTTCATTAGCTATAAGAGCCCTTGGCTGGGGCACATTATATGCTGTCACAGGATGTGGCTTATTTTTTTATGGAATGTGGAAACTCTCTGGAGCTACAAATGTAGAAGAATTTAGATTCAAGATGGGTTCCCTATTACCAAAAATACCTAAAAATAATCCACCTCAAAGTAGAACAGAGTTTGAGGGTTTGACAGATCTATTGACATATATTTCTGAAGATTGGGGACGAAATAAGGAGGTATACTTGTATAACTTAATTAAAACATTAGATATTTTAATTTTTTAGAAATTTAAAGTGTCTAAAATACTCTAACACAGAAATATTGAGGATTGATATACAAATTTATATGATGATAAAGAAAAACTTCTTGAGTCTGTAAATTCTCAATCTTTTCTCTCTCTTTGAGCACCTTCTTATAATCAAAACATCAAGATTAAACTATTTAACAGGTATTTGACGAAAAATTTAAATAATTCATCTAAATTTTTTTAGGTGATAAATCCATACGAGAAAAATTTTTTCTATTTTGTCTAACTTATACATAGTTTCCTATGTGTAAAATTGATCAAACTCACAGACATCGAAAATAATAATCTTTTAAAAGTAGAGATTTTTAATTTAAATTTTGTACATTTTTAACAAAATTTTAGCTGTTTGAAATATACAACAATTTTTTCCTTAAAGCTGTTTTTACATGATAATATGAATTTGGACCGACGAAAATTAATCTGTTATAAGGTTTTTTATTTCTACTATTTAAATTACTAATAAGTATCTCTTCGTAAGAATGTCAATTTGCAAATAATTTATTACAAAAAAATATCCTCAGCTGGGATCAGAGTTCAAATTCTGGTTAAGACAATATTTGATTTACATCTATTTGAATTATTTAAGATTCTCATCTAAATTATTAATCATTAGCACAAAAAATTGTTGAATTGCTTGTCAATTTAATAAGTCAGATTATTACTCTGTTTTTATTCATAATTACGTTTCAAGATCAAAAAAGATTTCGACGCGCGGCTTGCAGAATCAAATATATGTAATAATTCGTATATAAATTTCCACAGAAATATTTAAGCACTAAGATCCGCTTTGACCGAATACAGGATTTCTCTTGTTTAATTAAATTTATTCTCATCGGTTCGAATTCGTATTATAATTTTTTCTATGAAAATTTACACAGTAAAAATATGTGAGTCATGTTTATGCTGGAGTGGTCATTGTGTTATTTTTTGCAGGAATAAATGCATATGTGATATCTCGCTCTGGATTCGTACTGGTCTTAGTTAACACACATATAGCAACATTCAAATCACTTAATCAGGATCGTATGACTGGGGATCGTACGATTGGGTCATGCACGGGTTTATTGCATGCATGAATAGTAATACGAATAGCAATTGAAAGGTCTTATGAAACAAGTTTCATGAAATTGTAAATTAAATTGCTGAAAATGAATGTATGAAAGATTTTATATATTTATTGTATTTAGATATATCTAATAAAAATTATTAAACGTTATTTCTTTTTTGTTTCACAGAATGATGATACATAAAACTCAATAATTTATACAAGCCAAATTTTTTCTTTATTATTTAGCTATTATTTGTCTACGAAAGAGAGAGAGAGAGAGAGAGAGAGAGAGAGAGAGAGAGAGAGAAGTGCGTATGCGCGCACGCGCGCGGGTGTGTAAAAATCTTGATAAGATATTTTGTTATATTATTATGATATTAACGAAACCTGCGTTATTTTTCTTTTGGTATATATAATGTTGATTTTTTTATGGTTCTTATTGAAAATATGTCATTTATGTTTTATATATATAAACATAAGATTTTTTTGTACATAATAAAATTGCAAATAATTTATGGTGAAAAAGATTAAAAATTTATTATATTTATTTCTTTAATTTTTTTCATTCTGATGATGAGATAAAGGTACGGATAAACTTATTTTAATCAAGTCACGTAATAATAGATTGCACGTTCTGTTTGTAAAATATTTGGCGAATGTTACATCATAATATCATACAAAAATGATATATACGATCACGCTATCAACACAAGATAGATCACGTTAAAAGAACGTGAAACTTGATATATTTCTGCAGAAAGTGGTAAAAAGTACAAAGGTGATTTTGAATTATGGAGAATTGCGCAACAAGCGATATAACAATAAATAATTAACGATGCGTAAAAAAGTGCATATAAAAAATTAACATGAACAGGAAATAACATTTGTATAATTTCTATCGGACATCATTAAAATTTATAAATAAAAAACGATCAAATTTAATATTCGCATTAAAAGCATAAGCGATTAATTATGTTACGTTTTTTTATTGCGTCAATTTTATGTAACTACCATCACCACACCGCATGAGTTATCGGTTATCCACGGTATTTCTCTCTCTATTTATGTGTGTGTGTATACTATATTTGATATAATATTTATAATTAAAATTAAAATACTACAAAAAATATAAAGAAAGTTATATAAGTTAAAGTTATAATATATCAAAATATTGCATTATTATAATTACGTATCAGAAATTATTTTATAATAACATTTATTTTTATAGATATTTTATGTAATATCGAACAACTTGAACGACAAAAACAGTATTTATTATGTGATCTGTGACCCATGCAGTATGGTAGACGTTAAAATGTTAAACTATTTTCTCACAATTGACTATTTATTGATTGATGATTACGTCTACACAACTAATTAAATAAACGTTAAACAATAAGCAATCAGAATATGTTTATACATGAAATAATTGTAGAATTTAAAATTTATGAAAAGAAACGTAAAGTTATTATTTAAGTGCCTTTAAATACTTTTCTAAATGTAAAAATATTATATAAATATTGCATAATACGTGATATCCACAATCTTTCTTATAAACGCTGCAATAACTTTTTATGAAAACCTTATTCGAGTCACTGATACTAAAAATATTTATGTAAGACTTAAACTATGCAAAAATGTTTTAATACAATTAAAATTTTTTATTTTTAAAGAATTTTTTTTACATTATTATAAAATTTATTCTGTAAATGATATCAAAAAATAGACGCACGATCAAAGATTTCATACATCCTTAATTCTTCTGACTTTATCAAATAATGCACTGTGCATATTTCGCGATTTTACTTTTACGAGCTAAATCTTTATTTTATGGATGACGAAAATTCTTTTTTTCTTTTGAAATAGAAATTTGATTAAATTATTGAAAATTGTATGATCTATGACGTTTATATAGGATTTATATAGTTGAAGCGATTTCAAGATAGGATAATGGAAAGTAAGATTTAGAATCTTGTGTTATGTAGGATTTATAAGAAATTATTATTTACACGCATATGTGTTTGATCTTATAAATTATTATTAAATAATACCCAGTATATATATATATATATATATCAATTGCAAAAGAGATATAGATAGTAACAAAAAATCATAATAACAATTGTGCAACAGCCGGTCGGACTTGAGAAACGTTCGCATACGTTTCCATAGTACATGCGAAAGTAGCTCTGTATTAATTACACGTAAAAAATTGAAAAGAGGAGAATCGCTCTGTTTCCTCCTTCAAGCGAACCTCCTCCTTAGGATACCTCCGCGCACAGGCGGACGCTAATTGGCTAAGGATCCTTGATTATAATCTATGTATCCTACGGCCTAAAGATCCTTAAAAAAATCTGCTAAAGAGGATCGGCAGACCGTAGGATCTAAAGATCGCATGAAATATGAATCCTGGGTGTTATAGACGCGAAAATTTCATCAATTCATTGTTTCATGAATCCTATAAGATAGATTTTAGGATTTTGTAAAAATCCTGAGAAATGCGTATCTTAAATATGCCTTATAATCTATGGGCTCGAGGATCGACAGATTTCGTGATTCACAAAATTGTCTTACGAGTCCTACGATGTAAGGATCCTGAGAAACATCGCACCCAAGATCTATATATTTTAGGACGTACGGCTCCTAGAATCTAAAGAGTTTTAGAAATACGATACCTAGGATTCGTGGACTTAAAATTCGATGGTTCTTAGGATGTGTGTACGAAATCCTACATGTGAACTCTATAAATCTAAATCCTTGTTACAGACGTATTTACAAGTTCTAAAAATTTAGAGCATGTACTTTAGGCTCTCTCTCTATATATATAATTTTACATTTCGACGTTTTAATGAATATAACAATTATAGCTTAGAAGGGAGACTCCAATACAGTAGCGAGTCCATATGTTTCCGGAGGCCTGAAACTAATATCTCCCATCTTAAAAAAATGTTATAGCAAATAAATAATGCATATTTATTTAATATTAACAAAATGAACATAAAACGCTTACGAAAAAATTTATGTTACGTAATTAAAAATTACGTAAAAAAATGTATGTATATAGTCGAAATTACATTGTTATATTCAATTTAAAAAATATTAACATAAATACATTCAATTAATATTTTAATGTACAATTATTTAACAAAACAATTTCGAAGTAAAAAAAGAAAATAGAAACAATCATGTATCATATTATTATTATTATTATTATAGTTAAAAAACGCATGACAGAGTTCATAAAACTTTAAGTTTTAGCGATAGTATCCACTGAACACGTGAATCCTAGAAGCCGTTAAACCCTAATATTTTCTAGCATGAATAGATCCTGGATGTATGGCTACGTCGACCAGCGGCGTGAGAAAAAACAGTGAAAGAAGAATAGAGGAAAATAGAAAGAGAGTTAGGAACAGAAAGAGAGAGGGGGGAAAGGGGCAAAAGGTAGAGAAAAGAGCACCCTAGTGTACCAAGTAACACTTTAGTTGGCTTTGAGCTTGTCGTTATAGCCGATGTGACCAGGTGCGCTATTGGCAAAGTGCTTTTTGTCGGTCTTCTTTCCAGCCAGGTACGTCTTATGGAAGAAACGCGCGAATAGGACAAAGTAACTCAAGTACATCGCGAAACTAAAATGGATATTCATGCGAGAAATGTTGCAATCCACGTTGCCGCTCTCCAGGTATTGATAGGCAGATATGTTGATAATGCAACCGATCACCATCTGGGCAAGTTGTAATGTGGTGATCACCATGGAGATTACTTTAGGTGGTCTGTACCGCATCGCCTTCAGAGCGTAGTAGCTGTACATGATCGAGTGGACGCAGTAGTTCATCACGACGTACCATCGCGCGGACGCGGTGTGCTCCGAATAGGAAAACCAGGAGTACAGTAAGACAGTAATGTGATGATACCAGTGCAGGAAGATCAGTGGCTGTTTGCGCAGTACGATGAAGATTGTATCGCCAAGCTCGGGTAGCTTTGACAGTACGAACAACCACGTCCAGAAGCCTGACACGCAATCTTGCTCGATAAAACTGCAATCAAATTCGTAAGATTATAAAAATCGCAATCATTGTATGGTACAATTATTTATCTCAGGTTACCATTTAACATAAAGAATGATAGCAAAAAGACTGTTTTTTCGCCCATTTTTTGGGCGGATTCAACCTTTTTTTTATGCCAAATAGTACTATATGATGTAACATTAATCCTAAAAAAATTTTTAAATGAGCATAGGCACGGTTCCGAAGAATAGTAGATCGTTCTCTGAACAATGAATCGTAGATAATCCATTCGACAGAATATACCCTCAATATTACTAATTAATTTCAGTCACACACATTCTTCTTTATGCAATATACCCTGACTGGAAATCATCACTTTCATCCCCTTGTATATCCGGAACCGTGCCTATGCTCATCTTGAAATTTTATTGGAATTAATGTTTTATCTAATAGTACTATTTGCCATAAAAAAAATTTAAAATTCAAGGTCCAAAAATAGGCGAAATTTGCCATCACTCTTTGCATCAATTTTCTTTTAACTCCGAAACTGGTCGCGTCCCGATCAATTTGCCGTATTTTTCCGTTTTCTATTTATATCTTTCAATTAATTGACATAATTATATTTTTATATAATCCTTTTCTTTCTATTAGACAGTGGTGTAGTCCTAAAAAAAAAAGAACCCTGGCGGTCTGGCGGATGCTTTGAGCGTACGATTGCCACGGCTTTGAAACATTAATCCATATATGGCGAAAGGAGGTACCAAAAAAAAGGTACATACAAATCGTGCCGTGAGGTTCGTCGTACGGATTGGGACGAGAGAAAATAAGATGGAGAGAATGGCTAATCAATGGTTAGCCATTGGTTATAGTAAAGCGTCCAATCACAGTATATAGTACATTTGGGCCCATATTCAGAACGCACTTTTATCGATAAAAGCGTGCTTTTATCTCTGAAATTCTATAGTATACGTGAAGTAAACTATAACATGTTAGCGCGCTAATATCGTTGTTAGCGCGTTCTGAATACGGGCCATAAACTTTATCTAAAAGATTCGATTGCTCCATGTTGTACTGCCATGTTGT